TTAAGGCAGAGCTTTTGCATTTGCCTGGGGGTTACCAAGTCGGCATTTTTGTAGATCAAGTGAGAGCAGTTTCAACAAATAAAGACATCTTGCAGGACATCATGCAAGCAGCTCTCCTTCACCTCAGCTAATGGACTTTGGTTTAATTTTCTGTTGTGGGCTAAATTTTCCTCCAAGCATGTAAGGCAACTGCATTGGGTTGGGATTTTTGTTGGGTTTGTGGGGTGGGGATGGGGGGGCACACGCATGGTGAGGGCATGACATTTTGCCATTATCCTTTTTTCGCCTTATTTCAGAAACTTGTATGTGCCAGAATTGCAGAAAGTCACTTTTATTCAGAGTAAATAAAGAACCTCAGCAACAGCCCTTGCTTGTCATTGCTTAATTCTTGTGATTATTGAATGCAGCTAGTATTTCCTAGAAAAAGAATAATTTACTTCCCCAATGAGTGGTATTACTCTTTGATACTGTCAGTAACCTGAAAACGGATAATGGAGAAAAAAAGGAGCGTTTTCCAAGTTGTATAGTTTAACAAATGCTTAAGATTGTATGTCTGCTAATTAGATAAATGGTGGAGTTAGAAAATGTCCTTGAGGAAGAAAGATAAAGACACAGGAGAAAAATTTTGGTTTGGTGATTGAAATATTTTTTTAAATTTTATTTTTTGAAAGACATGGACTATTTTGAAGCAGATAACTTGTTTGCAGGGTTTTCTTTATATATATGTATTTTTTAATATCTTATGGGACGCTCAGCTTTTGTTTGAGCAGAGTTGGGGTCTTATCTTTGTATTTACAGAGAGAAGCATTTGACAGCATCTTTTTGTAAGAGATCTAACTAAAGAAAGCAGCAACTTGGGACCATCAACTGGTCTTCTGATTAAGGCTTTACGTTTTGTCGCTTTATCAGAAGCGTTTGGGCCCTTGCAAGCTGGTTTTGAGTTCTTTCACTCACCCTCTTCTACTTGCAGCTGACCAGGCTTCCTGCCTGGCACGGCCACTGCCTCACTGCCTCGCTGACAAATGCAAGTTGCCGTTATCTCCCCCTTTCTCTGCAGCACTTTCTTTTTGGAAACATTTGTAGGTATTTTGATGTTCCAGTGTCGGACCCTGTAGGCTACACAGATAATACAGCCTCAGCCTTAACCTACATGGTACAAGCATAGGGTGCCCAGACCTTTGCTCTGGAAGTGCTCGCGTAGGATGTCTTGACCCTCGGAACAGATCTTACAGAGGAGGTGGAACTGGGAGTGCTCTCGACTACTGTGGAGAGGAACTGTGCCTTGGTGGGGGAGAAGCAGATAGGATTTGGGGTGTCCTCCCATGGTGGCAGGTGGTTGTCAGTTACCCCACAGCTCAACTAAACTGAGGGGGTAGATCAGCCTCCCAGCTTACAGGTATTATTTCTTAGCTCTGGCAGGTCTAGAGTGTATGTGCAGCCAGTTCCCACGCTTCTCCTGGTGCAACATAATTCCCCAAGCTCTTGTAGCTCTCTTAGTCCTTAAATTTCAAAAAGCATTTTTTGTGCTCACTGCTTCTGTTGTGCAGCGTTCAGAATTTCTGCTGAGCTCTTTGCCTTTACCAGTTATTTTTATCTAGGTATGTTACATACAAAATTTTGCTAGACTTGTGAGTTTAAAAAATGCAAGTACTTGGACAACTACTTTAATTTTTTCAGAGTTTGAGATCTAAACCAGGGTAAAACTCTTCTCCTACAGCACAGCTTGAAACTTTTGCTGAAGCAAATACGACTTAATGTAATCTAAATGAGCACAATATAGGGGGGAGTAAAACAACTGAAGAGTGTATGTACTGATATCGATGTGAAAAATAGAGAGGGGAAGAGAAATGCTTCAAAAGACTTGAGCTGTTTTGTTGCAGTTTTGGTGGGGCTTTTTTTGGCCAGGAAACTATTATCGAAACCCATTTTGGATCTGTTCATCTGGTCTGTTTTGGTTCTTTTAAGATAAATTTAGGATTTTGTAATCAGTGCCCTCAGCAGAGGAGTTTGAGCTCTGCTTGTTGAATGAAGAATAGAAGCACAGCGTGACCTACATTTCCATTCAGTTGGATGGGATTTGGGGTCTCGCGAGATACCAGCAGAATGCTAATTGTGAGCCAAACAAACTAGCTGGCTCCGATCTGGAGGATTTGCTTTCAGCTGAGGACATGTCAGAGATAGTCTCGTAGAGTACTGAAGCGTCCACCAAGGCTGATGCAAGTACCTCTTCAAATGTGACCAGACCCCACCACCTCACTGTGCAGGCTTCGGGAAGCTCCTGTTTGCAAAGTAGGGTGTGTTTTCACTAGCACTACTATACCATGAACTAAACCTCAGGATTATTTAGCTGTTACTGAGCAATGTGTGTTTGACACAACAGAGGCAGCTAATACCGTAAAAAGAGGAGCTTCTAATCCAAATTAGATACGTTATTTGGGTTGAACTTTGTAAAAGATTGCATAGGAGATAAACGGGCAATGGGGGAGAGAAGGGAAGGGATGGAAAGGAGTTGATCATGATTAGGTCTAATCAAACAGTTCCTTGAGAAATTATGGGGGGAGAAAACAAAAGCAAGACTTCCCTTGAAAACATGTCTCTGAGTAAAAACTAGAGAATTATATAGGCCTCCATCTTTTTTTTAATTCCTTTTTATCTGCATTTTATTATTATTATTTGTATCCATGATAAAATGAAAGTGAGGACAACTGTATGATTGGAGGGTTTTTTTTTGGGGGGGGGTATAAAGTGTGAGAAGGTAGTGCTTTATCTCATTTTGTTCGCTTTACTGGAGGATAACTTATTTTTCAAGGCAGGCAGAAAAGCGATATGAGGGGAACTGAAAATCTTAGGAAGCTGAGGCACTTCCTCTGTGCAAGGAGGGGGATGGTAGATTTTCCATGAAAATTTTCAGAGGTCTAATTAAGAGTTACCTTTTGGAGATATGAACATCTTCTTGGTTCTGCTTTGTTATTTGTATAAGCAGCTTAGATGTGGTTTTTGTCCTGATAAGTTACAGTCTGAGAGAGCAAAGAGGAAAGACAACAGTAAAATCAGCATTGGAGAGCTGGTTGAAAGAATTGCCTCGAGGAGGGATTTAAGAAGCTGCAGAGAGAAAAGGATTTCAAAAGGCAGCAAAGACAGAGAGGTGTTTGAAGCTGAGTGGAAGGTGTTACCAGCTTCTGTGCTAGGCATCAGGCCCCGACACATAGCTCAAGCTTTGAGATTAAAAATCAAGGGCTTCACTGTAGCCCTTTTCCAAAGTTTGCCTATGAGATGGGATGCGAGAGTAGAAGAGTGCCTATGTCAGGAGAGGGGCAGCTTTTGTCATCTAGACCCTGCATTACCTGGTAGCACCCATAAGCACTGTTTTGACATTACGATTAGTTCAAGTTTTCACAAGGATTTCCAAAATAAACTTAATCCTCTGTTGGAGAGAGGAAAACTGGAATTTTGGGAGATAACGTGAAATTCTGGGAGGGAACATATTGTTCATAGCCCCAGTCCCCCCACCTCAATACACTGACACCCCAGCCTCCATGTCGTCTCAGTATTCAGTCTTGCCAGGTTCGTTTTGACCATATCCTCTTCTAGCAAGGTGCTTGGTACCCAGGTTCAACTCCAGGTGTTTCACGGGAGCTGACTGCCAGGGTCACTGACTGCTGTCTGTCAGGTCACTTTGTTCTTTTAGGCTTTCTAATGTATTCAGTGCCTTGACAAATTTTCTTGGCAAGAGCTTTATAAAAATGATAGCCTATTGTGCATAACAACACACTGTTAAACATCAGAACATCTCCTACCATACAAGTCCCGAAGTCGATCACTAAGCTCAGAAACCAGAGCAGCTCCAATGCTTAAGTGAATTTTTTGTATGGAACAGTAAGTGGTAGGAAGGCAGAGATGTTTTTGTTTGTTTGTTTTTTAAGGAGTCACTTTTGTCTCTGTTTGTCTTCCACTTTTTTTTTTTTTAATGGGGTTGAAAACAGCAACATCAGTAAGGAGACTGATCAGCTAAACTGAATATTGATTAGCCCCTGATGTGACAACACTACACTTTCTGTGCTGCTTCAGTATTTTAATCATGCTTGTAACATTTCAAACTGAAGGGGTGTTGGTCAGCTGATTTAAATGTTTTGGTATTTGTGCTCCCCCCCTGTTTCTCAATACATGCTTCCATTTTTCCTAATGTCAAGAAAATATTGAGTTTTCAGACTGGAAGCTTATTGCATCTCAGTGTTTGATCTTCAATTGCTTAAAGGTTAGGCACGACAGGGGGTGAGTGGTTAAACTGCTCACAGGTGCCTTGCAACTAGATGCTCCTTCATCTCTGCTCTCTGTGTGTTTCACAAAATAATTTTATCCGCAGTTGGTATTTACAAGAAGTACTTGTAAACAACTGGTGGTATTGTGCATACAGGTGTCAGACTGCAGCGTGTGACATTTGGCACTGTAAGGAAACTTCCAGTTTCTGAAGGCAGTTAATTGTAGTGGATGCACATTTTCTTAGAAGACAACTGTTTTTTCTAATCAGAGGCAGGAATACTCATTTGCATGTCACAGTATCATGTTGCTCCTCGAAAATCAAAAGAATATATTACCTTTAAGCAAGGCTGACACAGAATTGACATTTCAGCAAGAGCAGGCAAGCTGGGGCAGAGTCCCCTGCAGGCCTTCCCTTGGGTTTTGTTTTCGTTTCAACAACCTTTAGCAAGTGTTTTCTTGTTATGTAAAATTTTACTGTAATGAAAACATTAGTGGTCAAGAATTCAGGTATGTCTTGAACTTGCCATCAGGATTATGATGTGCCTTCAAGCTGTTTTACTTTCTGGGGAGGCAGCAGTTGTTTTTAAAGACATCATGTGCCTGATGTGAAACTCGGTGTTTGTCCAGTAGTGGAAAAGCTGTCTCTGACTAGAGGTCAACTCGTGAGGTGACTCAGACCTCGTAGTAGAGAGGAGTGGTTAGATGGTGTTTGCAGAAGACGTGCTTGCATCAAAGTGGCAATGTCGTTGATCGGTTGGAACAAGACATGGTCCTGGCTTGCACAGGTTTTCCCTGTGTGAGCCCAGGACTGTCAAAAGCACGTGTCTTACTGAACATGGTGTCTACTGATGCAAAATTAGTAAGTTTGTGATGAGGTTCTCGTGCAGAAAGTGGAAAACATGTTCAAACTTGGCTGTTCTGAGATGGGATGATAGTAACTGTGGTATCCTGGATAATGCAAACTTCTGATTAGGGTTTTAAAATGATGGTGGTGGAACAGCTGTTATTTCAGCTTCGTCACTGACAAAAGGAAGGTGAGCAGTTGTGGTGCAAATCTCAGGATACCCTTGGCTCTCTGAAGCTTGTACTGAGCTTTTAGTGCTGGTTTCTGCATGCCTGCAGCTCTTGGTGCAAATCTCTTGCTCTCTGTGCTGCAGGTGGGACAGAGGTGTGAGGGTTTGAGGTTTGGTGGGGTTTTTTTCGGGGAGTGTGTTTATGTTGTTCTGCAGTACTAAATGCATACTGCATCTCTGTGTTGCTGTGGTACAAACAAGCTTGACTTGCATGTTGGAATATAAGGCAAAGCCTTTCCTCTGTATATCTATCACAGCATTTCTAATATATGCCCTTTAAACAGACTAATAGCAGTTGCATATTTTTCTGTGCCTTTAGTGGTAACAGCTTTTTAGATTTATAGCAGGTATTTTGTTTGTGCGAGACTCGGAACTTGACAGAATGCACACCCTTAGCCAACAGATTCATAATTCACTGTAGCAGAGAGGCTGGCAGATAGGAAAGCAACTGGGGATCTCATGTTTCAAGGAGGAGGCATAAGTGTTACCAGCCTTGACCATCAAGTAGTCCCTTTAAAGAGAAGTATGGTATGCCTAAGGGTAAAATATGTTCATGATACCATTGGTTCTTATTCACATAGTTCTGTGAAAAATGCTTGTTATGACATGTGTAGGTGTATGGAAACAAACAAGTATACATGTATGTATGTATGTATACGTATGTGTGTAAGAAAGTTGGGTATTTTAATTCAGTTAGTATTTGCAATACTTCTGGGCTATGGTTCCGTCCATCTTGAGTCACATATGAGATACAGATGGAGGCTTCTGTGCTTTGCTAACTTGGACATGTCCCTTGTTTTCTTTTTTTTATTTTGTTTTTTCTTAGGGTAATAAATGCAGGGAAGAGCACGCACAATGAAGATCAAGCCAGCTGTGAAGTCCTCTTTGTCAAGAAGAAAGCTGGAGGCGCTAATTCTACACCAAACAAGAACTCATCAACAAAACGGAGGTCGTCGCTGCCCAATGGAGAAGGTCTCCAGCTGAAAGACAATTCGGTAAGCAGACTTCTGCATCTTGTCAGTGGAGAAGTACGAAATAAATATAAAAGGATATGACAATATGACAGTAAAAGATGTTTACTGAATGTTTCATATATTTTCAGTTACCTCTAATTATCTCTGCTTAAATACAGAACAGTTAACTATATTTTTCTTAGCTCTACTACTTGATTTTTGATTTCTTGCATTGAAAAATGCTCCTTGCATCTAAGACATTTTAGTTTAAAGATGGGGAGGGGAATACTCCTTGGATTTTCCTTTTTGTTTCATTTCTGAAAATATAATCCTGAGAAATTTACTGCTGCAGAATACTGTTTAATGGCTGTTCTTGACTTGTCCAGTGATGGTCACTGCAAGCATAGCAGTATCACCGTTCATATAGTCATACAATTTTATTAAGGGTTAGACAGTCATTTGGGTTCTTTTCACTGAAGCAATATTGCGTCTAGCAGGGCTGGTTTACGCAGGTAGGGGTAAGGTCATCTAGCACACTGAATTCAGTGATTTTTGTGGACTATAGCTCCTCTCTTTGTGTGGAGAGTGCTGTACGTCATGCACTTGTCTGCTGGCAGTCATCTGCTATTCTTCATCTGTCTTGTTTCCTGACTGGCTAATTACTTCATCTGCTCTTTAAGCATGAGCTCAGGCTCCAGCAGTGACTGATAGTGTGTGTTCGATTCAGACATTTAGCCATGTGACACTAAATGCCCTATCTAAACGTTGGAGTCGGACACATGGATATGCAGTTTTTCTGCTGCTGGGAGAACACAAATTCTTCCTAAGTGATAATTATCCTTTCAGTGGACTGTAAGTACCCTTTTTCGTGTTTTTGGTTTTTGTTTTTGTTTTAAACCAGGTTGTGATTAGCAGTCTGCTTCAGTCTCTCTCCCAAAACCCCATGGTTTGGTACATCTGATGGCTGCAGGGGTCATCGGGGACCTGAGCACCAAGTGTTCCTCTTGCACTGTGACCCTCTCCTCCTCTTGTTCGTCCTGTTCTGTTTCATATTTCGTTATTGCTGCAACATTTTCAGACTCTTGACAGATTTTGCAGGTTTGCAAATAGCCCAGTTCTTTCCTCTTTCAAATCTTCCCTTAAATCATCTGTCCCAGTTCCTTTGTGCTGATATTCCTCATTGTATTCATACAGTCATGATTTTTTTTAAGTACATATTTGAACACTCCTGGATAAAGAATTGTGCCCTGTGCTTGCTGGGACTAATGAGTTCTGCGTACACTCATGCAAGGCAAAACAGAATTTATTTTAATAGCCTGCATTGAAAAAAAATCTTCCCTAGAAGGCCCATGCAACTGTCTGCTATTGGCTCATGCAGACGCTTGGTTCCGTCAGCGTATTTAATTTTTGTGTGCGTTAATTATGTTTAATGTAGCAAGCATTTGGCCACAGTACTTCTTCGTGTATATAAAACACATCAAGATAAGTAAGTGTGCTTGGTCCTGGTGATGGTTTGTTTCACACAAATGGCATCGCTGTGCCATGCACACAGCACACTGCAAAGACCCCTGTGCAGACACCAACCTGGCTAGACACATCTTGGTGCTCTGCAGAGGTACTAGCTCTGATCTAACACCACATTTAATTTCCAGGCCTGCCATGTGAGATACCTGGTCAGGGGCCCCTGCATCTGGGGTGTGGGTGAATGTAGATGTACTGCATTTGCCTGTGTTTTCATATTTTGGGGGCATGCGTGAGACATGAAAAGCTTTGTAGCATTGTTTCACAAAGTCCAGTTAACTTCCAGCTTTGAGTAGTGTCAAATGCTTCCCAAGAGCAAAAGGCACACTGTTGTATAGAATATATTGCATGGTTAATCATCTGACTCAGAAGGAACTTTTTTCCAAACATTACAAAGTTAATATGTTTAGATTGCATTAAAAATACAGGCATATAAGACTGTTTCATTATTGGAAAGGTGTTTTCACTAGCCTTGATGGTATCCATCATTATGGTCATCATACTGTTATGATATCGTAATGGTAGGGTCTATAAACTGACTACATATTTTTGAAAGCTGTTCTTTTTATCCATTTTAAACTTAATGATTGTCAGCCTCGTTAAATGTCCGGTTGCCTTTTGTTATGCGAAATATCTCATGGAGTTTTCTGATTTCTTCTCTTCACTAGTGTATTTCCTACTTTGATTCTGTATCTTTCATCTTGGTTTTGGAATAAACAGCCACTCCCTTTCCAGCTTCTTGAGAGAAACACTTTTATTTCAGATCTTCTGTTCTTTCTTCTATTTCTGACATATTTTGACCAGAAATGAGCATAATGTCAGAAGTGAGGAGCCAGCTGATCCATATAATATAGTATACTCTTTTCATGCTATTTGTTATCGTGTTCTTTATATGTTCTCTTCTCACCTACAGATTTACTTCTGTTTTCTACGTGACACTTGAATGGATGATATAGCACTCATTATTTAGCTGTGTAAAACCTATTCTACCATGTTCTATTCTAATAGACCACAGCTTGTGAATTTAAATTTGTAATATACTTTCCCAAAACAGGCAGCATATTTCTGGAGAAAGTTTTCTACTAGAGGGCAGTCTTACACTAGCAATTAGTAGGATTTTTTCCTTGGTACATTTTTTGCTGGTTGAATATATCTTAAAAACGAAAAAAAAAAAAAGATGTACACATTTCCATAATGTGTCATATTTTTATGTTTTCATATTTTTATACTGTGAAGTATAATATTGTGTTTTGCCCTCACATAGCATTGTTAGCAAATACTTTTTTTAAGGAGTGTATGAGTTTGGTGTTAAATGTGATGAGGGTGCAATCAATAGGTATCAATAGGATGTAGAAATACAGGCTTGAGACACTCCAGTGAATGGTATAATATCATCCTGGCAAGTATTTAGTAAGAAAGCCAGAGTCTGAATACTGTAAATACCTCCTAGGGAAATCCCACTGTAACACGCGATCTGAAATAATTTCTGAGTGGTGAAACACCTTGTAGAAATATTGAAGGAAGAAGGGATGAGGGAAACAGTTTATTGAGCATTTATCTGATGAAAAGAAAGATTTCTTCTGTAGCTTTTTTGTTTTGTTTTTTTTTTAGAAAAAAAAAATTTTTTTTTTCTAAAAAAAAAACAAAAAAAAAAAAAAACCAAAAACAACAAAAAACAAAAAAAAAAAAAAACCAAAAACAACAAAAAACAAAAAAAAAAAAACACAAAAAAAAATTTTTTTCTTTAGTTTTTTTTTTTTTTTTAAAGTGTGGAGCACAAAGAAAGGAACTGGAACTCAAACTGTCTCTTGATTTAAGAGAGTCCATTTCATTGTCCTCAGATTTTTGTTTTTTTCCAGAGAATCTTTGAGAAGGCCGCATGCCATCTTTGTTTTATCCTGCTCTCTGGGAAGTTTGTGAAACTTAAATGGCAGCTGCATCTGAGGTTGTGTGATTATTTTTCTTTAATGCTGACTCTGTCAATGCAGCCCTGTGCTTTGGCAAGGCAGCATAAAGGAGTTGGAGATCCACGGGCTGCCCATGCGGGCTGGGTGCTGCTGTCATGGCCTTGACTCTGTGGGTGGCCTCTGCAGAGCTTCTGGGGCTGGAAAGAAGGAGGCGATGGGCCAGAAGTGAGGAGATGGAGAGGTGAACATTTGTTTATCCCTGACACACGAATCCAAGGAGAAACCTCTTAAATAGCATAAATATGGTTTTCTTCTTTAAAAGACCAGGTGATAAACTGAACAGAGCAGTGAAAGGAAAGATTCTGCAAGTTCAACCCTAAATTAATTCTCTCTTCTTCCCGTGACCCCAGTCCACTGCTGCTTGATTAATTGTACTTGCTCTCTGTCCCCATTCAGGAGCATTCACTTTTCACTGGTATCATTTTTAAATGCCTTTAACTACTGGGTACCTTGCTGATGAATACTGAAGACCATCAGCGAGTGAAATGGGAATACTATGCCAGGATATTGTCATAGTGACAGTCACGTTGCAGGACTTAATATGATGCATTATTAATTGTCATTGTAATGTGAAGATACATAATTATTAATTCTGCAGTTTTGTTTGTCACAAAGATGGGACGGAGTATTTGTGCAACACAAGGCTGGTTGCCTACCACAGGTAGCTGAACATATCATTGGTAACATACGGAGGCTTTTCTCCAAGGATGGGGTGGCGATTGCTCACCCAATTCAGATTTTATGAGAACTGAAGATGCACTCTAATGCATTTTGTGAGTGTACTTCATATTTGGAACAATAACAGTCGGGGTGGGTTGTGGTTTTCAGAATAAATCTTTAGTGGCAACATGATTTATTTACCTGTTTGGAATTAGCTTCATAAAAAAAAAAATCTGAAGGCTTTCAATGTAGGACCACTGTCTAGATTACCTGAAAAATTTGTCCCAAATTATTCCTATGTATTGCTAAGGCCGCCCGTTTTTTTTTCTATAACTGAGCCCAAATTATGTATATATATGCGTTTTCTTTCATGATTTCTCATCCGTTGCTTGACCCAAAACTTTGCATGTCTTAATTATATTTTACAATTACAAAACAGACTGCTGA